AGAGATTCATATTTGGAGACCAGAATATGATTTTGATAAGAACTGCAGAACTGAAACCACTAATGTGAAGAAAGAAGCAGAGGGTGACTGCTTTGGTAAAAACATTATTGGTAAAATTGTAAAAGTAGAGCCCAATACCGCTCTGGTCCTAATAATTTCCAGCTTTAAGAAGATCGTCATTTTTAGGTTTTGAGCATTTGGCTGCTTCTCTAATTTGCATAATAGAGTTAAACATTTGTGCCCTGGAATTTTCTGTTTATATACAAGTTATATTTTAATAGGGCAGGAAAGTTTATTTCATCTGGCAAACCATGATAGCTACGATGCAGAGTTAATTGGTAAGATATTTAAGATGATTATTCTTTTAAGGTTAAAAAGAACTTTCCAAAGTCTTTTAATCCACTTCCTTCAGAAAGAATCTCTTTTAACTCACCCCAGGCATAGAAATCTATATATTTTAAAGACAAAATATGGAATTTTCTATAACTTCCATATGCAATCTATGCCAGTGTTTACAAGCCTCACGTCATGAAATTTTAAATTAAAGTTTGCTTAAATCTGCATGCTTCAGCTTTAGTCAATCTTTTCTCCCCATTGAATGAGTTTTCAACTCAAGATGATCACACATGTTTCAAAGTAGTACTGCACTTTACAGGGTTTTCAAGGCTGCAATCGTTTAGAACAAGATTACCAGGCCTTTCCTCCAAGTTGCCTCTAGATTTCAAATTGCCAACCTTTTGGTGAGTAGTGCAGCATCAAATTCATTTCTTCCACTTAGGCTCTTCTTATTGAATACTGTTGTTGTGGACTACTGTCAAGTCTGAGCCAACCCACAGCTGACCCTCTGGTGAGTTTTCAGAGGCAGTTAATTCCAAGGGGAGAAGACTGCCCAGACTTCTCATGCAGAGCTGCTGGTAAATTTGAACTGTACTGCCTTCACCCCTGCAACATAGTTTCTTACCATAAGACCACCAGAGCTCCCTGAATACTAGTAATTCCTTATTCCATTATTTCATGCTACTATATGTTTAAAGACTAGTGGAAGTTTCTGCTAGCCTTCTCTTTTTTAAGGTAACAAATTAACAATAGCTACTGATACATCTTTCCCCTCAACTAATCTGCATCAGAGGCCTTTCACACATTGGACACCACAGTGTACACTCAATAACCCACAGTTTTATATAATTCTTCAAATAAATGTCTCTCTTTTTCTCTCTTTGCTGTTAAGTCAGGATGTATTGATAGGTGACCCTCGAGTGGGTTTTCAGGGGCTGTAAATTTCTGATGATTGTCCATCTTTCTCCCTCAGATCAGCATGTGCATTTGAACTGTCTGCTTTCTAGTTCCCAGTGAAACACTTTAGCCATTAGTTAACTTCTTATTGTTCTGTGCTGTAAAAGTCAGAAATGACACATAGCTGATCCTCTACTGAGTTTTCAGATGCTATAAATTGCACAGGAGACAAAGACATCCCACAGAACAGCTAGAGAATTCAAACCACATGCCTTTGGACTGGCAGCACAGTTCCTTACCATTAGGTCACCAGAGCGCCTTAGTAGGTCACTGTAGTTGTTACGTGCTTTTGATCTGAACTGAATCATACCAGTCCCTTCAGCTGATTTTAGAGGCAGTAAATCACAAAGGAGGAGACACGTTCATGATTCTCCTATAGAGTAGGTGGTGGATTTGAACCTTGTATCATCAGGGATGCAATGCAGCTTCCTACCACTGTTGTTATTGTTGTTGCTAAGTGTCGTCAAGTCGTAGATGACTCATAGTGACCCTATGAATGAAAGACCTGAACACTTATGTAACTTCCTTCATTTCTCCAAGTTCATAGGGTTTCCGGAGGCAAGCTATTTTGGAAGTGGATGCCACTCCTGCTTCCTAGTTTTAACCGGAGAACTGAAACACTGTCCACTCCTACCACTAGGCCACCAAAATTAAAATGAGCTCTATCAAAATGAAAGAGTTATCATTTCATAATTATCTTAAAATATAGATGTAACTGAGTAATTTGTAACTACTTGGAATAAATGCATTAGTGTTAATATAGATTGTATCATATTCTCACATATGTTTCAGTAATAACACATATAACAGGCAGAGGAGATTAACATGTGAAAGAGTTGTGAGGTTTGCAAAATATAGAAAATGTGTGTATTATTTGTGTAAGAGCTCTAGTGATTTACCCCACAGGCAGTTGCATTGCTACCTAAGGATCATACCTCTGGGACTTCAGGTCTGCCTTTGGTTTGGCAGTGCAACTCTTTATCCACTAGGCCACCCAGGAAAAGAATAATAACATCTCCATAGCCAGAAAAAGGGATCACAGAACTAGCTTGTGAGTTAAGATTCGATCCCACATTATTTTTCTTTCTATTGTGTAGCCAGGGAGCCGAGATGACCAGATGGCAAGAAGCTGTCCAGCAAACCCAAAGGCACATGGTTCAAGTCCATCAGCTGCTCCACGGGAGAAGGATGGGCAGTCTTCTGCAATTAACTGTCTTGAAAACCTACCAGAGAGTCAGCTGTGGGTTAGTTTCAACTCGACGTTACACAACAATTACATAGTCATCTCTACACCATCTAGGCAGACAGACAGTCAAAAATATGTGTTCTATTGCAACAGACTGACTCGCACATATCGTTCTCTGTGTAATCTACATTTTCCCGGTTCTCTGTATCTCTACTAGAAATAAGGAGATGCTCCCTGCCGCCCCTTATTATTTCATAATCTCTGTTACTTCAACATTCTCAATAGGCTCAAAAATCATAGGCTCAAAATCTGAAATTGAGAAAATGAGACAAATAGAAATAGCAACTATCAGACAAAGGATTTTGCCATCTCTGCTATTACTCCCATACCTGCCCAGCTCTGCAAAGCTGGACAGAGTCTCCCAGATATTCTAGGCAACTCTAATTTAATATTTCAGGACACCGAGCCAAAGCATGAGGGACTTCACACTCTCCACCACAGGAGTTCCTTCACTACTACTGACATTTCTTCTTTAGATAAACCTAAGTGGTATGACAAGGGTGTCCAGGAAAGATGTAGATTCTCATTTGCATTTTAATTTCAGATAAACCACAAACTTCCAATTACAGGCATGTTTTGAATTTTGTGTGGGACATACTTATATCTAAGATCTCTGTCAAAAGCTTTGCCTTTGAAGTATACTCACAGTAAAGAAGAGGTCTCAGGAAAGAACTTCAAAATTCTCTAAATAACATATCAAAATAATACCTTAACTCATGAGAGATTAAAACAGAAGTTATGCACCTCTCTCATTGCCACTGAATCACAGAACTGACTCATAGCTGACCCTCCAGATGGTTTCCAAGGTTGTAAATTGTACAGTAAGAGATTGTCCATCTTTCTCTTCCCTTGAAGAGCAGCTGGAGGATTTGAACCACCAAAGTTATGGCTTTGGCCTTGGAGGTGCAATGAAGCAATCAGAATGTTTCTGAGGCTATCAATGCACAGCTGTGAAACACCCATTGTTTGCAATCACTAGCAGAACTTAACACCCTCTCACAGAATACAGCCCCCATTAAAACAGGAACGATGAATTATATTTATTCTATTTACATAGCCAATAAAAACAAGGCTATTTGTTATTGCTGGTGACATCATTTTGAAAGCTAAGAGAAATATTTTTCCCCTCTCTAAATCTTCTTAAAAGAATAATTAAAATTATATTTACATAAGAGTTTGACTTTCAAACCATATGTTGTTTTTAAGTGTCAAACTCCAAACAGAGTTTCCTTTTCAAGTTTCAGAATTTAATTGAAGTCACAAAAGAACTTCATTAAGCACTTGATTCTGGCACTGAAAGTGAGAAGGGAAAAGGCCTCCCTGCAGGGCTGAAACACTGCACTGATTGCTCTGCTTACCAGGTAGAAAAATTAGCAATTAAAAAAAAAATAAGTTCTTATCATCCTCAATTTTTTTTCCTTCTTATTTTACTTCTTTCCCAATTCAATTTTAAGTGAAACTGGAAAATGGGGAGGAGGGGCAGGGAGTAGTCACAACCAGGAAAACCTGCCAGTTTTCTCAGGGCAGGTATCCAAAACCATAATTCCTTGCTTAAGTGTCCGAAAGGAAGGCAGGAGTTTGCCTAATACACGACTGAGGTTTGCAAATCTCAGCCAAGTTTCAGTCTCTATACTGAAAAAGTCAAACTTGGGGTGAGTGTCTTTCTAGGGAGGCAGGATGAGAAGGCGGGAAAGCAGCTGGTTCCCTCCAGACACCCTGGTCCTCCCACTGGCTCTCCTTAATGCTTGGGGAGAAAACTGTTCAGTTCTCTTTAAGAACTGGAGGAAGCCACAATGCTCCTGTGACTTTCAAAGAACTCTGCATTGGAAGCCACTTAGGGAATACAGAACAACAAATACTGAGCCCTGAGGCAGGGTCTAAACTGGCCTTAAAGCAAAACTGAAAATAATCACGTTCTGTTTTGACGCATCCATTCTTCTACATTACAATAAGGAAAAGGTGAATGAATATGATTCAGTGCTTAAGAATGTGCACTCCCAAGGTGCTGCACACAGGAATTGTTTTCCAAAGTTAACTCATGAAAAGTAGTATTAAGAAACAGCTGAGCATTTCTCCTTGGAACAGTCAAGCATCTAGATCTATTATCAGCAAATTATTATTTTTTTAAAAAAATATGCATTATGGACAATTTATTGGATAATAAGGAATTCAGGGAGAAGGAATTATCACAATATGCACGTTTCTTAAAAAGGAAAAATTAATTCTGTTACCATTTTGGAAATCAAGAAAATAAGTTCATAAATCAGAGAAATAAAACAAGCAGTGATTGAAGGCAAGCTTAGCAGAAAAAGGTCAAAAAGGGTACTTCCCATTTACTGGAGATCAAAAAAATAACATTTTCATTTCTATTTGAAGAGGGACAAAATTTTAAATCATGGAAAAAGAACCAAGCATGTGGACTGTTCAGAAATTCAATACTCAAGAACCAACAATCACTTACTTTGTAAATGGTAGGGAAGATCTGTTTCATTTTCAGCCTGTGAAAGACAAAGACGTCATAAACTGCTGAAACTGCGAGAACAGTCACTCCTTGTTCCTTCCACAACATGCTGCATCCAGCACACAGCCCTGTTCCTAGGAACCAGCCCCAAGTCCGTGCTGAATAGCCTCTTGTAGAACAATGCTTAATGTAGCAGAGCAAGGAGAGGAGGAAGAAGAGGCTGGCACCAACATCAGCCCTGCCCACGATCCCAGCCACAGCCTCCGTGTGGATGGGGTGAGAGGCAAACATCAAGCCAGCCATAAAGGTCCAGTATCCATCACCCAGGAGGATTTTGGAGAAGCTCGTGAACAGACCAGTGACGGTTGCGTGTAATAGGACGTTGACAAGGTGATAGCTCCAGGGATTCAGCCCTCCGATGGCATGATTCAGACGAAAAGAAAGAGTGCAGAGAGGGCGGTAGGACTTGTGGCTGCCACTGTGGGTAAGGAGGGTTCCCCAAAAATCATTGTAGAAAATGTGTGTCCATGGAGTTTCTGGGAGAAGGTCTTGATTAGTCTTGATAGCACGGCTGTAAAACAAAACATTAAAAAACAAATGTAAAATACAAAATAGCAATAATATATAGGTAGATATAGATACATTTTTCTGTATATCATGTGCCTTTGCATTCACAGTACAACTCTGTGCCATTAGACGACCACCAGAACTCCATAGATAGAAAACTACATATATATATATATTTGTTGTGTACCATTGAGTCAAAATCAACCTATGCTGACCCTCCAGCAGGTTTTCAAAGGCAGTAAATCACATGGAAGAAGGCTGTCTATGTTTCTCCCATGAAGATCTAGTGGATTTGAACAGTTAGCAGTGCAGCTCCTTATTGCCAGGCCAGGAGAGAAGCCTGAGAAAGACAGATGATAGATAGAAGGAAGATAGATAGATATAGATAGAGATAGATAGATAGATAGATAGACAGACAGACAGAGAGAGAGAAAGACAGACAACATAGATAAGAGAGAGAGAGAAAAATATGGATAGGTAGGTAGGTAGACAGATAAAGCAATGCTTAGATATTGCCTTCTTGAGAACCTTTGCTACATGGATTTATAATGAGATATCAGGTATGCAAGATTTACACAAATGAGGGAAGTTTATAGAAAGCTTTTCACATAGTTTTAATTAAGAGATTATCATTATTCTCCTCAAAACTCCCATTAGTGTTTATAAACGGCACAATTATTTTTCTATTTCTTTCCCTTAGAAACCATCTTTCTTGTTGGTATACAGAGTAACTGCAGAGTTTCCATCAGAGAATTAAGCCTTCACACCAAAACCCACTGCCATCTATTCGGTTCTGACTCACAGTGGCCTTCTGGGATAGTGCAGAACTACTCCACTGGGCTCACAAAGCTGTAATTCTTTATGGAAACACCCTGTTACAACCACTACCTCCTCCCTGGGGAGAGGCTCACAGACATAACTTTCTGAATTTCAATGGCCATGATGGCCCATGTAATGTCTTCAGAAATAGAAACCAAGCAATGTCCGGTAGAGTAACAAGATGAAAAGGAATTGAGTCCCTGTCATCATGGACCATCAGCCTTAACAGTTGTTGAACAAACTAAACAATGGCTACCTCTCTGTTTGAAGAGTAGGTGACATTAACTGCTATCTTGTTTTGAACTGTGTCATTTTGAGTGTTTGCTAGTGGCAGCTGAACTTACTCATAAGTGAAATCCTTTGTTAACAGAAGACCTACCATATCACAGTGGTTTGATTTTCTGTTTTGACTTTGATTTTTACAAGTCTCCGTGTATTGACTCTGTATTAAATGAATTTCCATATAAATTGGCTTTTAAAATATTAGAAACAGATGTTATTCTGGATCCATTAAATTAAAACAACCTGCTATGACATTCATCAAGAATCTAACCCAGAAGTAATTGCTTAAGACTTGATGGGTTATAATTAAAATTTAAAGGAAATATGAAAAACTGCCAACCAGTGTTTCAGACAGCGGACTTCAAATAATTCAGGATGGAAACCCCACTGGCCTGTACCAAACATTAACTAAGATAGTGATGTGAATTTATCTAATGAAAAATGCTCAGATTATGGAAGTCAGGGCACCTGGACTGCCCAATGGCAAAGCATTCTGGGATAAGGCTGTGCAAATGCCATGAGGAAATCTAGGAAGCACACATTACACTTTATTTTAGACAATACCTCACCGTTTCAGTGGCAGTTCCACAAAAGATAAAAAATCTCATTCTGAAAATAGGTTTTCAACATGCTATTAGTCCCATACCATAACCAATTCTGTAAAGAGGCTTTTGAGGAGAAAAAAAAAATACTTTCTAAAACTTGTTAAAGATTGCCAGAATTTTCTACATTTCTCGCAATAAGATTTTACATTTCTTGCAATAAATCAAGTAATCTGCGTATGTCTAGCTTTCACTAAATATAAGTTTTAAAACAAGTTTTAGCAAATCTCATCACTTCATGGTAAGGAAAACTTTGATGAGGTATCCTCCTAAATTTACTGCAGTGGAGAAACAAATTAAAGGGAAAACTGTGTCAACAAAATGAAAATAGAAGAACAAGGAACACATCAACCATACGCATGTACAAAGGAGACTTTCATATGATAAAACTCTCTGAAGGGTGTAATGTGCTTGGACAGGTTTTCATTTATACCAGTGACTATTAGGGCAAAAGAAGATATCCTAAGACGAAACTGTACTACGCTTTAACAAATAAGTCATTTCACACATGCAAGGTGATGATAAGAATACATTATACCACCTCAACATCATACTGAGAATGATACCAACAAAAAGAACCGTAATAGAATCTGAATAATCTGCTGAGGGGGAAAGATTTGAGAAGGAAAAGACAGTCATTCAACACTGAGCTTAATAGATTTTCACCTATTTGCATTTTCTTCCTCCAGTCCAAAATGGAAACACTGAAAGCTCTTATGTTATTTCTCAGCTAATGAGAATCTTTCCTTCAAAACAAAATTTCCTGCTGATTACTATTTCTGAGGTTGCTTCTGTGAATTAGTGTTGAAAATGCAGAAAGACGCTAGGAATTTATGAAATTTTCCAATCTGAGAAAGTGAAGAAAATTGGAGGAACAGATGTGGAAAAATGAACAATTGCAGGCAGAATTCCCTAGAGAAAGCATGACTGAGAGACTATCTTTTGAAGCAAAAAGCGTAGTTTCAATAGCCATCAAGGAGATCATAACCTGCTTCCAGTTTTGTTCATTTGCAGTTTTTTGTTTCTGCCACCTTATGATTTTTCCTTTAGGAAATGCTGGCAAAGGCCAACACAGAAGCAAAAGTGGTGAACGAGGTGAGGCAGCCATTCAAAGTCTCCTCGCGTGTTGTTCTCACTGGTATTGTTTGCACTGACCTGTGGTCACAGGCACCACAGAAATGGTGACTGAGAGTCCCTCTGAGTATGAATCTTCTTCAGATTTTTTCAAACATAAATGACACTACTCTGAAGCTCTTTCAACTCTACTGGTAAGTTGAAACGTAAATAATAATTAAAACTTATATTTGAAAGAGATTCTGGCCCCCTCCACAATAGACTAAACCTTGTTTTGAAAAAGAGAATGTTCTTTGTTAACCTGCTCTGTTACTCTGTTTATCTCTCTCTCTCTTTCTCCCCTCTCTCTCTCCTTCATCCATATCTAGGACAAGGTAAAACTCGAGAGCAAATGAGACTGTGAAATGATAGACACAGTTACTTCCCCTCTGTCCCTCAGTTCTCTCCCCTGTAGAATAAGATGCTAACTTTACCTGTCTCAAAGGACCACTATGAGGAGCAAATATGTTAATAAATATGTAAGGTATTCCATCTGTCCCTATGACCAAAGAACGAATGAATCTAGTACTTAAGACTTGTAGTGCCTGTCTAGCTTTTTAAATAGGATGAGAGAGTGTGGGCCCTCTTTTCTGGGACAGCTTGATTCCCAAACACAGCCCGTAGCATGTGGTAAACTATTAGCATATCCTTTTCCTCTTGCTCTGAGTATACATCAACAGTCCCATAAGCTGCTCAGCTAAGCATGTGCAATACGTAAGGCTTGGCCAAGTCTACTTCATCCTGCAGAGAATAAAAAAGGTCCTTCTCTTGAAATACAAGAGACTTGAGTGAAAACTATCTCCCTGCAATGGCCATGAGGGGAGATGGACCAGACACGAGAGACTGGAGATACGAAGTTAACATGATGCTCCCTCTTTCCTATGTGAGTGAAAGTGTCATTCTACAGGACCTGGGTATGAGTTCTATCTGTGTTGGTGACTCCTGGGACTGTAATCTGTGGAGAGGGTTAATGTTTTCCCTGCGATGGGGCTCCTCCTTTAGAAGTGGGACCAGGGTCACTTGTTCAACAATGAAAGTATAGAGATCTTTGCTATATGGAACATATAAGTGTGTACTGTTGTTGTTACTGTTGTTAGGGGCTGTCAAGTCATGAACAACAGATATGAACCCTAGTCTGTCTGTGCCAACATCACAATTTCTTGAGGCCACTGCTACAGTTATTTTGTCAATAAACCTGGTTGATGGTCTTCCTCTCGTTCACCATCCCCCCTTCCCAAGCATAACGTCCCTCTCCAAAGAATAGTCTCTTGTAGCAACATGCCCATGAGATGAAGTTTTATCACGTCTGCCTCCAAGGAGCACTCTGGCTGCACCTTGTCCAAGATATGTATGTTTGTTTTTTTTTGATAGTTCATGAGATATGCAGTATACTTTTTCAATACCACAGTTTAAAGGCATCAATTCTTCTGTCATCCATATTCACTGTCCAGCTCAGCAGAATACCAAGTGATTGAAAAGATGATGGTCTGAATCATGAATACCATAGTTCTCAAACTAACATCATTACTCCTCACTAATTTGAAGAGGTCCCTGACTGCAGACTTTGCCAGTGTAATACATCTCCTGCTATCCTAACTGTTGGTACCATGTGTACAATGTGTACATAGGAATAGGTTATATACATAATAAATGTCAGCTGTTATTATGCACCATATAATTGATGATAGCCATTGATGTAACCACAGTAATTTTCTGAACCAAGATAGTAAACATTTATGAATGTCTTTCTTGTCCTTTAATATATTGCTTTATTATTATTATTATTATTATTCCCTTATGTCTTTAATATTATCTCTTTCTACTTCTCATTAGCTAATCTCTCTATTTCACTTCTCAATCCAAATGTGACTAAATCATTTGTGGCTCTTTTTTAGGATCTTCTCCCTCCTCACGCCCCTATGTTTTCTACTTTTTGTGTCATCTCAGTCAGGAAGCACAATTTATCAATTGTTATCGGCAACTGAAGGAGATAAAAATGTATCTGGATATAAAGGAAAGTTGTTGAAATTCAGATTTCATTAACACCTTATGTGTTACCATAGGCCAGTTAGTCTCTTTAAATGTCAGATTCTTTAGCTATTATTAGGGGTAACTACAATAATGCTTCTCATAAGTTGGGGGAGCTCTGTGGGTTTAGAGCCCAGTGACTTCTTAGTGAGTATAATGC